AGGGAGCCCGATGCGGGACTCGATCCCGGGACTCCAGGATCATGACCTGAGCCGAAGGCAGTCGCTTAACCAACTGAGCCACCCAGGTGCCCTCACTGTGGATTTTTTAATTTAATTTTATTATTTTATGATTTTATTTTATTTTATTATTTTAAGATTTTATTTTTAAGATTTTACTTATTATTTGAGAGAGTGAGCACAAGCAGGGGAAGAGGGTCAGAGGGAGAAGCCGACTCCTCGCGGAGCAGGGAGCCCGACGTGGGGCTGGATCCCAGGACCCGGGATCATGACCTGAGCCGAAGACAGACACTTAACCTACTGAGCCACCTAGGCGCCCCACTGTGGAGTTTTTAGATGTAAAGTGGCTCTTACATCTCAGAAAGCATATATTAACTTGTTTTTAACAACAATGACAGCCCCTAGGGTTACAACCAGAAATGTTGTCCCTAAGCTGCTGCCCGTCGCTTAAGTGGACTTGGTCAGTTGGGCACGCGTTACTGTAACATAGCGCACGTGGAAGTCCAGTGTGAGGAGGAGCCTCGAGGCGTTCAGGATAGAGCCCTTACTTTGAGGTTCTCTCTTTGGAGCTTATTGCCTGTAAATATTCTCTGTAATCTCCCATATCTTTCCCTGAAAATCGGTTTTGACTTTGTAGCAGCACCATGCTAAGAGCCTGACCCCTGGCCTCTTGGCCCGTGTTTGTGGCCATCACAGTGTTGGCAAACATACCCCGAGGAGAGCCGATGAGATGATGGGTATTAATCTGAGAGTTTGATTTACTATGTTTTGTTAGTACCCTGGCATTCCCTGGTCATGCTCCACTGATCACCCTTGTCCCTGCCCGGGGCCCAGAGGAGCTGGGCACACAGGCACAGAATGCAGAGTGGGATCCAGGGCGCTGCTTTATTAAGCTAGAACCCTCGGTGCAGGGAAAAGTTTGGAATCTACAGTGTAGGCCTCAGAGGGCCCTCCTAGGCCAGCTTTCCCTTCCACAAATCGAAATGTTTGGATCCGTGCGCTCAGGCTTGTCTCATCTTGGATGAGAGAGAGACCGAAATGTGGCCAGATCTGAGGAGCAACAACCTGGACTAACCCACCCAACTAGCTCTGTGCTCAGAGGGTGTGAAAGGGGACAAAGGACAGAGCGAGGCCTTGCCAGAGCCATTGTAGAAGTCACCTTTTGAATAGTGTCCCTGGAGGCGTGGATGTGTGAGGACCGGGCCTTGCCCTTTGGAGGCAGAGCCTACCTAAGCCTGAGGCAGGGTGACAAGAAAGGCCAGGTGTGGGATGCTGTCCTTGTGACGTGTGACTTAGTGACCAGGCAGTGCTTGGACTTTGAGTAATCTGCGCTACCCGAAGAGTCCCCTGCTCCTATGAGTTGATGGGGTATAAACAGCAAGCTGCTCTTAACAGATCTGGTGTAAGAAAAGGTTGAAGATTCTATTATGTAGAGTTAAGTTTTAGTGAGCACCAGCTTTTTTTTTTTTTTTTTAGATTTATTTATTTATTTTAGGGGCGCCTGGATGTCTCAGTCGGTGAAGCGTCTGCCTTCGGCTCAGGTCATGATCCTGGGGTCCTGGGATCGAGCTCCGCATCGGGCTCCCTGCTCAGTGGGGGGGTCTGCTTCTCCCTCTCCCTCTGCCCCCTGTTCCTCTTGCTTGTGCTCGCTCTCTCCAATAGAAAAAAAATCTTTAGAGATTTATTTATTTATTTTAAAGAGTGTGCGCGGGTGTGCACACAGGTCGGGGGAGAGGTAGAGGGAGAGAGAACATCAAGCAGACTGTGTTTTCCACATTTTGTTGCTAAGATGCCCTTCCCCATTTGGACCTATGCAATCAGATCTTTGTATCTCTATTAAGTTTCATAATCTCAAAGTTAGTCTATAAGGTTAGCTCTTAAGCAGTAGAAGTAATCTTTTTTCTTTCTTTTTTTTTTTTTTCTTTGAGAGAGAGAGAGCAGGGCAGAGGGAGAGGGAGAGAGAATCTTAAGCAGATTCCACGCCTAGCATAGAGCCTGACACTGGGCTCCACCTCATGACCCTGAGATCATGACCTGAGCTGAAATCAAGAATCGGGTGCTCAACCGACGGAGCCACCCAGGCGCCCCAAGTTAGCACCAACTTTTGAAGGCGTCCGTCGGTTGTTGTAGAGACTGCTTTCACACTGCATAGGAAAGCCTGAACGTTTTCAGATCTCAGCCCACAACAGTAGATACCTAAGTTAGGATTCCTTTCATAGAAATGAGATGTGGCTATTTCCTTGGCCCCCTCCCCCGAAGGCCAGTGGGTCACTTTTCCCCGTGCCTGGCTCCACAGCTGGTATGTGCAGTTGAGGACTTCGTCCCAAACCTTGTCAGTTGTGTGTTCCTCCCCCTGCTGGGGTCAGCCGGGCCTGTCCTTGGCGGTCACCATGACTTTTCAGTCACGTGGCTCATCCTCAGCCCGCTCTTCCTTTCAGGGTTCGGCAGAGAGAATGGCCGCGTGACGATCGAGTATTATTCACAGCTGAAGACTGTGTGCGTGGAGATGGGTGATGTGGAATCTGCCTTTTGAGAACGTGCAGCGTGGCCAGGTGTGGAGCAAGGTCTGATCTCGATAGAGGCCAGACAGCTGCCTTCTGTTGCAAACCCAGAATTGTGTCTTTCGGGGTAAGAGGATGGCTCGGTGTCCTTCATGTCTCAGTCCCTTTCCTAATTGAAAATGTGCCTAAGTGCCTTTTAGATACTAATCAAGGAAGTTGTGATTGTGCTCAAAGCCAGTGTCTGTGAAATCTTTAACACCCTTCTGGAGAACAGGGAGAGGGACCAAGATTATGCTTCTCCCACAGATCTGACCCCCTACAGTGCTCAAAGAACTGGCTCCTGGTTAAATTCCTGGTGGAGTCAGTAGAGACCATTTTCTGCTCGTGGCATTTTTAAGCTCTGGGCCCTTGTCATTCCATTGAGAAAGGCGATGGTCGGGATCACAATGACAGACATACAGACGTTCTGCGTGATGGTCACCTCGCCAGAGGAAGCACTTTGTTTCCACTCGGTGCTGGTGGAGGAAATCAATCTCCGGCCCTTGCACGACAGACAGCCTGCCCTCTTTTTTAAATGCACAGACTAGCTGTATGCTAGTGCAGCACACCGAAATGAAATAAATCTCACTGCTAGTCCTTTCAGCTTCATGTTTTAAAATGAAGCCCATCTCCAGGGAATGCTAGTCCACAGAATAGGGCTGAAGTTCAGTGTGTAAGGCCGGGGATTTGTCCTTTGCACTCGGGACACGGGGACGGGCTTTCATTGCTTCATGAATGCTTATGGCCCATGGGGACTTGTAGGCTTTGTGTCCTTCCCCATCCTGACACGCAGTGCCTGTCATTGCAGAGCTGTCAGACCACGGCGACTTCTCAGCCTTCACCCTGCTCCTTTCTCTGCCTTTTAGGGAAATAGTTATGTCCGTTAGCTGCATTAGTCAGGGATGTCCAGAGACACAGTACCATAGAATAGAATAAGGGAACAGGTAGGTAGATATAAGGGAAGATTTATTCTAAGAATTGGCTCACATGATCGTGGAGGCTGAGAAGGCCCCCCCTTCTGCCATCTGTAGGCTGCAGACCCAAGAAAGCAGGTATTGGGATGCCTGGGTGGCTCAGTCGGTTAAGCATCTGCCTTCGGCTCAGGTCATGATCCCAGGGTCCTGGGACTGAGTCCTGCATCGGGCTCCCTGCTCTGTGGGGAGCCTGCTTCTCCCTCTGCCTCTCATGAATAAATAAATAAAATCTTAAAAAAAAATTTTTATTTAAGAGAGAGCATGAGCAGGGGGAGAGAGAGATGCAGACTTCCTGCTGAGCAGGGAGCCCGATGTGGGGCTCAATCCCAGGACTCTGGGATCATGACCTGAGCCGAAGGCAGATGCTTAACCGACTGAGCCACCCAGGCGCCCCTCAGTGTAGTTTTGATTTGCATTCCTCGAAGTTGTCTTTTTCATTTTCTCGATAGTCTCATTTGCGGTACAAAAATTGTAAATTTTGACCAAGTCCCATTCTGTTTTTTTCTTTTTGTCTGTTACTTTTGGTACCATGTCTAAGAAGGATTTATCTAGCCCAGGGTCCTGAAGATTTATTCCTGTTTTCTTTGAAGAGTTTTATGGTTTTTGCTTTGATGTTTTAGGTCTGTGATCTGAGTTCATATTTATATGTGGTGTAGAAAGGGATTGACCTTCCTACTTGCTGGACATGTGGATAGCCAGCTGTTCCAGCACTATTTGTTAAAAAGACTCTTTTTCTCCCCATTGAAGTGTTTGGCCTCCTTGTTGCTGCTGCTTATTTTATAGATGCTTTCGGATGAGACTCTAAAACTCAAGTCCTCTCTTTTGCGGGGATGCCACAAGATTTTAAAACACATTGTGAGGAAATGAGTTGGCAATACTTTGAGACCTTTAGAACTGGTAGTCTAACTTTTCCTGTTAGAGCAGGAGCAAAAGAAACTATGAATAACAACGTTTTGTTTTGGTTTTTTTGCTTCATAGGGACATCCAGCGCGCTCACAGAGTGGTGGCCAGGCTGCAGGCCGGGATGTGCTTCATTAACAACTACAACGTCAGCCCAGTGGAGCTGCCCTTCGGCGGGTATAAGAAGTCAGGTGAGGCGCTGGCTGGCAAGCGCGAGGGCAAACCGGGTCTCTGGGGACATGGGTGTCATTCAGACCCTACAGACCAGCTTCCCAAACATGGCTGTGTATCAGAATCAGCTGGGACAGTGTCCTGATTCCTGGTCCTCCCCAGACCCACACAAGTCTCTGGGGATGGAAGCCAAGCAACTTCCCCCCTCCCCCAAAAAGCTCTCCAGAAGGTTCTGACGTGTATACAGCTTAGCTTGTGAACGGCTGGCAGACATCTCGAAAAAGTTTATCTCGTGGCTAGAATTAGTTTTTCTTCACAGTCTGTGATCGCTGGAGGCATAAATCCACTCCCAGAGGTTCCATACTAGGGATGGTTGTTGTCATCCACTGTGGAGCGTTTTTTAAAATTAAAGATTTTATTTATTTCAGAGAGGATGAGAGAGAGCATGAGCGAGGGGAGGGTCAGAGGGAGAAGCAGACTCCCCGCTGAGCAGGGAGCCCGATGCGGGACTCGATCCCGGGACTCCAGGATCATGACCTGAGCCGA